AGGGGAGGGGAGGGGGGATAGTAGAGGATAGGAAAGGTAGCAGAATACAACAGTTACTAATATGGTATTATGTAAAAATGTGGATGTGTAACCGATATGATTCTGCAATCTTTGTAATGTTTTGAACAACCAATAAAATAAAATAAAAGAAAAATAAATTATTTTTAAAAGATTAGGGCTGATGGATGTAACTCAGTTATAGAGCATTTGCCTAGTATGTATGTGCAAGGTCCTGGGTTGGATCAATAGCACTGAAAAAAGTAAAAAAAAATAAAATGATAGTAGCCAGACATGGTGACASATACCTATAATCCCAACTACTCAGGAGGCTGAAGCAGGAAGATTGAAAAGTTTGAGGTTAGCCTGGGCACCATAACAAGACCCTATCTAAAAATAAAATTTTTATTTTTTTAATTGTTAAAAAAAAACATAGGATTAACTTGTAGATAATGTCCCCCTGAATAGCATGGCCATCATGACTGTCAAAAACTCTCCCACCCAACATGAAGGAAGAGTTGAACATCTAATTGGCAAAGAGTGTACAAGGTGGAACCCAGCTTTCAAGGCACCCATAAAACAGCAATAAATTTGAAAACAGCACTGTTTCCTTTGTTGTTCTACACTTGGAGACAGCCTATTCTCTCCATTGAGAGTGCTCTCTGCTTGAACCTTACTACATTTTCACTCACAATAAAATTTTCTTGTTTGGCTTTTCATGTCTGATGTTAAATCTTCTTTCATTGCAACCACAAGAACTGAGATTTGGAGCTACCGCTCCTCACTCTTCTGTGACAAGAACACGAAAATAAATCCTCATCTATATGGTCAAATAATTTTTGACAAGGGTATGAAAACCATTCAGTGGAGAATAAACAAGTTTTGTTTTTGTTGTTTCATGTGGTATGGGTGGGTTGGACCCAGGGCCTAGTACATGTTAGGAAAGCATACTACCCCTGAGCATACTCCCCAAAATTTTATTTATTTTTTTGTTGGGTACCCATGATAGAATACAGGGGGGCTTCACCACTGAGCCATTATTTATTTATTTTTAAATTTTGAGACATAGTCTCACTAAGTTGCTTAGGATGGGCTTGAACTTACAATCTTGTCTCACCATCAGCAGTCTCTGCGATTACTGGGGCAGGAGGATCAGGAGGCATGCATCACCAACACCAGGCCATCCCCAAATCGTTTTTTATTTTGAGACAGGGTCTGGATAAGTTGCCAGACTGGCCTTGAATTTGTGATCCTCCTGCCTCAGCCTTCCAAGTAATTGAGATTTTAGGTGTGTGTCACCAGACCTGGCAGAATAGTCTTTTTTAAAAAATATGTTTTAGTTGTAGATGGACATAATACCTTTATTTATTTATCTTTATGTGATGCTGAGGATCAAACCCTGGGCCTCACCCATGCTAGATGAATGCTCTACCACTGAGCCATAACCCCAGCCCCTGGAACAGTCTTTTTAACAAATGGGACAAGTTGGATATCCACATGCAAAAGAATGAGGTTGTACCCTTACCTTATACCATACAAAAAATTAACTCAAAATGGATCTAAGGCCTGAATTTAAAAGCTAAAGTTATAAAATCCTGAGAGGAAAACAGAAAAATCTTCATAGCTTTGGATTTGGCAATGGTTTCTTAAACATGACAAGATAAACTGAACCTAATCAAAATTAGATACTTGTGGATCAAAGGACCTTATTAAGAGTGAGAAGACAATTCACAAAATGGGAGAAAATATTTGCAAATCATATAAGGATTTAATAACTAGAATATATAAAGAACTCTTGCCAGCATGGTGGTACATAACTGTAATCCCAGCAGCTTGGGAGGCTGAGGCAGGAGGATCACAAGTTCAAAGTCAGTCTCAGCAATTTAGAGAGGACTAAGTAACTTAGTGCAACCCTGTCTCAAAATAATATTTTTTAAAAAGTGGGGCCTGGGGATGTGGCTCAGTGGTTAAGTACCCCTGGGTTCATTCCCCAGCACCAAAACAACAAAAACAAAAACAAAAAACAAACTCTTACAACTCAATAATCAAAAGATAAACAGCCCAATTAAAAATGACCTTACTTATGGGCCTGGGGATATAGCTCAGTTGGTAGAGTGCTTGCCTCACATGTACAAGGCCCTGGGTTCAATTCCCAGCAACAACAACAAAAAAATACACATAACTAAAAAGTGATCTTACTTATATGTGGAATCTGACAAAGCTGAACTTAAAGAACCTGACTGCAGAACGGTGGTTGCCAGGGGTTAGGGGTATGGGGGTGAGGGAAAGATGTTGGTCAAAGGATACAAAGTTTCAGATATTTAGTATAAATAAATTCTAGAGATCTATTGTACAGCACATAACTATAGTTAATAATAACTTATACTTCAAAATTGCAAAGAAAGTGGATCTGAAATGTTTCTCCATGAAAAATGATAACTAAGTGACGTGATGAGTATGCACATTAACTTGACTGTGGTAATCTTTTCCCACTGTAAAGATGTATCAAAATATCACATTGGAATGGGGATGTAGCTCACTGGTAAAGAGTTAGCCTAGCCCCCGAAAAAATGTTTGCATAACATATATGAGGCCCTGAATTCAAACCCTAGTGCTGCACAAACTAGCATTATGCATTATAAATATATACAATTTTTTCAATTATACCTCAATAAAGTTGGAAAAATGGGAGAAAGAATATAGGTGGTGAAAGTGAAATGAGATATTAGATTTCCAAAATATCAATGTCACCCCATAAAATCCTTACTAATAACCAAGGGAAAATGCTCAAGGTTATGGTACAAACACCTGGAAGTTTACAGTGCAAAAACCTGGAAGACACCATTTTAATCAAGAGATCAAAATGAGCACAACCCATAATAGGATAAGGCAATTCTTTATGCCACCAAATAGGAAGGTATGAAGAGAACATATAATTTCTCATGTGATTAGATGGCATCAAATTCATAACCTATTCCAATAATAAGGAAACTGAATACACTCAAATTAAGTCAAATTCTATAAACTCTCAAGGTCATGAATGTCAAGGCAAGAATGAAGCAATATTCTAGATTAAAGAAGACTAGAGACATTTACTCCTACACTGAATCCATTTTTATATAGGTCATTACTAGAAAACTTGAATCTAGAGTCTCTGGCAAAGGATATACAGGAGTTCTTTGTACTATTATTCTGAGTTTTCTGTAAATATGAAATTGTTTTCGAATATTTTAAAGCCTGGAAAAATGCCTAGAACATAATAGGCAACATATAAATATTTACTGAATTATGTTCTACATTATAAAGCAGAATTTTGGGGAAAAAACAATCTCACAAGTAGGTACAACTTATGGTACCCTGGAAATAGTCTCCTTGATATCCAACTATATCTCTGTGAATGCCCACTGTAAGAGTGAAAACTGAAGTAAACATAAACACTGAACAAAACAAAAAAACAAAAAACAAAGAAAGAATGGAAAAGGGAGATAAAGAAGCAAAGCAAAAATGCTATAAATTTAGAAATTTTGATGAGAACCAATCCAGGAAACAAATTTTATCCTATCAAATCTCTCATACCTCCAAATCTCAGTATAGAAAAAATAATATGGCAGTGACCTAATTAACTGCTTTCAACCCTGTCAGTAGTAAAATAGACTCATTTTTTCTTTCTTTCATTGTGTAGCATGAAATATGGAAGAAATAGTTTCAAGATGATTTGGCAAATAAAAGGAAAAGCAAAGAAATCTTAAGAAATAACCCATATCACTTTTTCAAATGCCCTTTCTGATAAAGACAAAGGAAGCAAAATATTTCAAAGATCAGCTAAGTCAGTGGAACTGATCTCAAAATAGAATCTCCAAAAGGTTTCATGCAGTAGTAATGATTCTTCCTGGAAATTGAAAGAGCACATTTTCAAACTCTTGGAAAATAAATGCAGAAATTTCACTCACCATTTTGGGAAGCCTCATCAACATATCTTTACAACGCAATGCACATGTAGATGCTCTTTGAAAATCCCCTTGAGCAACTGCCTGAGAAAGAGAATGTCAGTAATTGGTTAAAATGAAATGACAAGGAGTTTGTCTCTAAGTCAGTTTTATCATATTTTTACTACTATTATAAAGTCTTACTTTGTTTTCTAATCTTTTCCACAATGCTAGTTGGTCTAACTAAACATAAAAGCCAGCTCAAAATATAGAGGAATAAGTGTTAAGAATCTTTAGTAACAATGTAGATAATGAATGAATGGCAGTCACTTTTTCTGTAAATGCAAAATCTTGTGTACTACCTTATGTTATCATATTATGATATAATGCCATGTCTAACAAAATGATGCTATTATTTAAATAGCTCTTTTATTTATCTCCACATTAGAGGAATTAAACAGCAGTCTTTTGTCTTAAAACAAGCTCACAATAACCTTAAAGTCTGAACTGCTGGGAATATCTACTATCAAAGTGAGTTTATTGTAATGCCACCTTGAAGCCAAAAAGTCATTCTGTTTTCTTTCTTCCTTTCTCTCTGTTGTCATTCATTCAATTTATTCAATTATTTTGGTAGTGAGGATTGAACCCAGGGACACTTTAACACTTAGCTACATCACTAGATCTCTCTTTTTTTTTTTTTTGAGACAGAGTCTCACTAAATTGCTTAGGGCCTCTCTAACTTACTAAGGCTGGCCTCAAATTTGTGATCCTCTGCCTCAGCCTCCCAAGCATCAGACTCTGCCATTTATTAGCTGTTAACTTTCCTAGCTTCTGTTTCCTCACCTAAAAAATAAGGAGACTGTACTAGATTATCTCTAGGGCTCCTTTCAGCTCTACCAATCTATGACTGAAAACCTTCAAATGAACAAAAAGATCAATCATGAATTGTTTAAGCACTTGTAGAAGAGGGCTGTTTCAGCCATTTATGAATTTAACTGACAAAATATTTTTTAAAAACATGGACCCATACAAGAAAATAATTTTATAAAGTACTTTCCAAGGAGGGAAAATCCCTCCATTTGCTATTTTCTTTCCTTTTCTTTATATGGTGTCAAATATTCTCATGCTTTGAATAAGAAAGGGATTGATGGGCTGGGGTGTAACTCTGTGGTTGAGTGATTGCCTAGCATACTGGAGGTCCTGAAATTGATCCCTAGTACAACCAAAAAGAAATGGATTTAGTAGAGAAGAAAAGATAAAGATTCTAAAATGTTGGAGCTGTGAGTGCAGCTCAGAGATAAAGAGCCCACTTAGCATGTGCATGCCCAGCACAAGGAAAAAAAAAAAGGAAATGCCAATTCCTTTTTAGTTTTCTCCTCGATCAACCTGATGAATATTAACCTTGACATGTTGCTAAGTAGATACCTTCCTCTAAAGGTTTAATTCTAGATCTTATTAAAAAGGAAAACAAATTGCTAACAAAAGAGCCTCTAAAGCCAAACTTCTATCTATAGATATTACAAAATAATATCCCCATCCACACAATAAATATCCAACAAATACTTGCTAATGGAGTCATGATTCAAGGCACACAAAATCTTATTATTAAAAAGAAATGCTGAGTGACAAATGCCATATCAGAGGATGTTTTTTCTGTTCTTATATTAAGCAATCTGAGACTTCAATGCTCAAAAATACCCACAAAATGTTTATGGTTACTCAGATTTTATTCTAGAGAAATCAAAGCTCTAAGAATACAAGTTATTTTGGAAAAATTGTTCATCTTCTTGAAGCCAAAATTCAGTATTTCAAGCCCAAAGCATAGAGAACTCAAACAAAAGAATCCCTAAAGAAGAGGCGGGGCTGCAGGTGTAGCTCAGTAATAGAACACTTACTTAGTGTGGCAAGGCCCCAGCATGACAACAATGAAGAAAAAGAAGAAGCATGATGCAATACTGTAGCAACCTTTGATGAACATCTGAAAACCACAAGCCCTGGTTTCACCACTTAGAGACTGTGAGCCATTAGATCAGGTATGATGCCCTAACTATACTGATGTAATGAAAGAATGTGGATTTTGGATTCGCAGCTTTTCCATTTCTTTGCTCAGTCACAACTTCCTTAAGTCAAAATTTCCCTTCTTTCTTTCCTTCCTCCCTCCCCCCCTCCCCCCCCCCACTTCCTTCTCTCTCTCTCTCTCTCTCTCTCTCTCTCTCTCTTTTTAGACAGCATCTTGCTAACTTGCTAACCCAGGGCCTTGCACATGCTAGGCAAACGCTCTGCCACTGAGCTATATCCCCAGCTCTGAAACAAAAACTTCCAGCCGCACAAAAACCTGCACACAAATGTCTCTGTCAACTTTATTTGCAATAGTTAAAAATTGGAAAATCCCAAATTCCTTCAATGGTGAATGGCCAAACTGTGGTATATCCATACTGTAGGATTCTACTTGGCAATAAAACAGGACATACTATTGATATACAGAAACGAAACTTGGATGGATCTCAAAAGGAATTATGCTGAGTGAAAAGAGCCAATATCCAAAGGTATACATATTGTATAATTACATTTTCTTGATATTCTCAAAATGACAAAACTATAGAGATGGAGAATAGGTTATTGGTTCCCTGGGGTTAGGGATGGGGATATTTGTGGTGATGAAATTGTTCTGTATCTTGATTGGGTGTGTGTGGTTAATATGAATATATACATGTCATAAAATTGTACAGAACTACAAACACACAAAATTTAATGAATGTAAAACTGGGGAAACTTGAATAAGGTTTGTGGATTGTACCCACGTCTATTTCCTAGTTTTATATTGCACTAAATATACACACAAAATGTTTCCATTGGGGAAAAACCGGGTGAAGATTACACCAGATTTCTCTTTACTATTTTTGCAGCTTCCTGTGAGTCTATAATTCTTTCAAAATAAAGTTTTAAAAACCACATTTGTTAATATCACCACCAATTCCATGAGAAAAAGTCTAAGTACTGGAGGATTTTTTGTTTTTGTTTTTTGTTTTTTTTTTAACAAGTCAACATAGTTTATTACTTTTACACAGACTATTTCAGGAGTTTAAACAAATAGTGGGGGGGGGGGGGGGACAGGTGTCCTTCACATCCAGGATCTCCTAAGGAGCCAGAACTCCAGCTGTGACTTCCCCCAGACCAGGACAGGGGAGGGAACATTAGCCAGCCAATCTCCAGCACCTGTTCTCCACATGCACGTGCAGAGGAAGCCAGCAGCTCGCACACAAGTCATGCTTAATAAAAATAGTATATCATCTTCACAAGGAATAAAAACTAGTCTCAGATATATACAGCAAAGAGTACGAGGTGACCTTCTGGGCTGGATCCCCCATGATGTGAGAGGCCAAGAGTAAAACAAAAGGGAGAGGGAAGCTTAAAGATGTCCAGGTGAGGCCACCCTGACCTTGGCAGCCCAGCTGCCCAAACTAGACAGAGGTGGGGCACTTTCTTGGCTGGGAAGAACAAACTCCTCTAGTCAATCACATCCCTATCTTGTACACCAGGTTCTCCTTCCTACCCATCTTGTCTGAGGTAGGAAAGACCTCAGGGCTCCTATACCTGTTCCCTATAGCTCCTCTTCACCTGTGGGCTAAAGCCCCTGAGCTTCTGAACTCCATGACCCCACAGATAACAGCCTAGGGCAAAGATGCCACAGGCTGAAATCCTTACAGGAAGTGAGGAACCTGAGGCCATAAACAACTCTGGGGTACATGTCTTGGGCCCAGTTGGTCCATTAGTCATGGTAATGTTTCCTGCAGCTATAGCCTCCCTCCTGGGTGAGACTGACCTCTAGCCAGAGGCCTCTGGAACATTCAAAGTCTAAGTATTTGGAAGCTAACATGCTCTTGGTAGAAGTATATAAGTTTCCCAACATTCTAATTTTTAACTAAAAGCTAAAACTTTATAACTGCAAACATCGCTGGTCCATGAAAAAAAAAAAATTATCACTGGCAAAAATGCTCTCCACTGATTTCCCTGAAGTCATATACTCCATTCATTTTTATGAAAATATCTGCTAAATACCTAAGTATACATGAACAAAGACTGCATCAGTTATGCTTTGAAGTAAGTTTCTAATTCAGCTCACAAGTTAAACAATCACCTAAGGAAGGACATTTCCTCAATACAGCCATCACAGAAGTGCTCTATGTGTACTTCCTTTTTCATCACAGAATATTAAAATGTATCTGCTGGGCATCACAGCACATACTTTTAATCCCAGCAACTCAGGAGGTTGAGGCAGGAGAACTGCAAGTTCAAGGGCAGCCTCAGAAACTTAGTGAGGCCCTGTCTTAGTGAGACTCTGTAACAAAAAAACAAGAATAAAAAAAGTCTGGAGTTGTGGCTCAGTGATTAAGTGCCCCTGGATTCAATCCCCAGTATGAAAAAAACAAAAATAAATAAATAAATAAATAAATAAATATGTCCTCCAAGTTAAAAATTTAATAAAAGTAATCATATTTACTGCCTCATTAAGGATATTTTAAAGTAAAACTGACTGATAAAATATCTACTAGAGAAGTACAAGCTATTGTCTTGATTTACATCTAAGCATCAGCCATTTTAACATTGTTGCTTTTGTGCCACTAACACAAAAACTAATATAGCAAAAAAAGAAAAATAACATTTTAGAATTATGAAAATAGTTTTGACCTCTCAGAATGCTAACCCAACTTCCATTGCCTCACTCCATTCAGTCCTTAAATCTCTACACTCTGTCTTCTAATTTTACCTTGCTACTGAAAACTTTTTTCTGTAGTCACTGTCACCTTCCTGAAGGCCATGTCTAAACACCTCCAATGCAACCTCACTTCCTTTATTTCTCTGAAGCATTGGCTACTACTAACCATCTAAGTTTCCTTCTCATACATGACTCACTGTACTAATCTTTCATTTCTTGTTTGATCTCCGTCCTTTCTGCTTATTCTAGTTTTGACTACATGTCCCCAAACACACCTCCTGGCAACAAGTAAATGTGGAATGAATAGGCTTTCTTATCATGCATCCTTTCCTTTGTCTAAAACTTAAGTGGTTCAAGTCCTCACTGAGCATAAATGCTTGCTTCCATT